AATAATTGTAATAAACTGTCTAAAAAGTGTTATATTACGTTCGGTTTTTGTTGTAACATTTTGCCCCTTATAGTGTAACAACCAGCCCCTGGCGCGGGGCTGAAAGTTACACGGCACTTTTCCCAGAATTTATTCATTTATGTCACTTCTAATAGTCTGTTATCTAAAATTGTTTTTAAATTAATAACCCGAATAGTTACTTAATCAAACATTTTGTTTGTTTGATTATTTTACCGTAATGTAGGTTACATTACGGTAAAATAATCAAACAAACAAAAAATTACGACATTTTATAAAAAAAAATGTCACGACCAGCCCCTGTCTCCCCTACCGCGCTCTATAAATTTTCTCAGCTGTTTAGGGTTGAGATAGTTGCGTTTTTAACAGTGGTAGAGCCATGCGGCAGCTTTTGCTGTCGCACGGATGGGCCGGCTCGAACCGGGGTGGTACCACGACCTCATAGAAAACCAGCGTGAAGTAGAGGCTTGCCTCTGCGTTTCGCCTGGTGAGTGCAGGTGGCCGGAGGCCCTTTTTACTGGAAATGAGGCATTCCATCTTAGTCCTCACGGGTGACAACGCATCTGCATTTTGATTCGTAATCGAAGATAGATGTAGATGTCTATGGGCCACAGCAACCACTTACCATCAGGTGGACTGTGCGCTCGTTTGTCACCCTTATCCTATAAAAAAAAATCGACACAGTCAATTACATAATTAATAGACTTAGCTAACTGAAAAACATTACTAGAGTTACAGGTGATATAGTGGCAGTTTTGATATTTATTACAAATTCGATTTATACTGTGGTTCAAGTCAATTACATTCAAGTACTTTTTCGACTATATATTTACTACAATTATGTCATGTTTAATAAACTGTTTTACTAATCTGTGTAGCTTTGCAGCTGTAATTTTCTTATCGTAATCGTTTTCTCCAATACAAATTATTATTTCGTCACTAGAATTAACTTTTAAATTGTTTACATTAGATAATACATCTGGGGACAGTGCATACGTCTTTCTTTGTGCAGTAACGACGTATTTTTCATATTGTGTGTGCTCTCTTGTACGCACTAAGGCAGCCGACAGCCCAATACAGCGTTGCGTTCCGAAGACAAATATCCGTTTACTATCGTCAGCATGTCTACAGCATTCAATGTTCATCCTTTCAAGAATATCTTGTGAGTCATAAGATAGTCTTTGTTCTTAATGTATCAAAATATTTTTTCAGCTTCAATATGTCCTTTTCTGCGGATTTTAGTTGCTTCTGCAAGATCTTGATTTTATCGTAGAGGGTTTGTAGTGAAGAGTCCAGGTGAGCTGTTTTGACGGTTGATGTAGGTTTTGAAAATGCCATGGGAAATACAGCTTCGGATTGTAGTATTAAGCGCCTATTACTTTTTTAGGAGCAATGAATTGTTTGACTGTCGTTTAGTGGAGATTGGCACAGAGCTTTTAGCATATCATTTTCCTTTGCCAATTTGCTAAGTTGCTGACGGAGGTTGTTATTTTCCAATGAAGTATTATCAAATTCATTCTGTAGGATTGCATACTCTGACCGTAGCAGACTGATAGTCTCTTTCATTTCCTGAATTGGGATTGGGTCGGTCACAGTGCAGTCCAAGCTTTTTGATAGTCGCATATCCAGGGAATCAAGAGTCTTCTGCGTTATTGAGTCATTACTCAGATCAGGGATCGGCAAGTCTAATGACAGATGCGATGCAACACTCGTGTTCGGTGTTTGTGATTGTTGTTCATCAGTGTGTGATGACATGCCTGAGGGTGTTCCTTGGAGGTGGTCTATATTTGAGTCTATGTTCAGTGGTGTCGATTTCGAAAACTCAGGCGCATTTGCTAATAGGGTCAGACTGGACGAAGGAGTATCGCTTAATTTTAGGATATTGTCCTTTTTCCTTTGAGTCACATAAAATGGGGGATTTGGTGTAGAAGTCTCCTTCGCTGTTTTGCAACACGTTTTTTTCACACATTTCCAATTCTTTTTTGTTTTTGCATCTTTGAGACGGTGTAGTTTTTCAGAGTAGCCTATGCAATCGAATTCGAAATAGTTGCAGCACAATGAACATAATACTGTGTTTTTTGAGTCAACTATCAGTTTGCATTTGTGGCATTTAACGGTAAGCGCCCTCTTGCGCTCACTAATAACACCTTTTTTAGTGGATTTCGACATTCTGTAGTATATCTGAGTATACACTTAAATGCAGAAATAGTACCGTTATATCTTGGTAGATGTCACACTTTTGCTTCAGTTGTTGTATAAGGGCGTATATACAATCATCGGCTCAATCAAACACAACGAGAGCGCATCGCAAAACCGACACTCCTCTCCCCCCGCGGCCCCACCACCACCACATGAACGGTGCAGCCCCGCCATATTCACGTAGAATAAGGCCAGTGGCGCATCGCGATAGACGACAGGGCGGGAACACTTTCGAGGGGTGTGAAGTGAAGCATCCAAGTCCAACTTCTTCCCCTTTCGCCCTTTTCTTTATCCTACAGATATGACCGCTCCGCTGCGGAGCAAAAGAAAGTTTATGCCTCCAGAGCCGCGGCGGAGAGAGGTGAAAGAACAACCCTATCGCTGCAGTCCGCCAACGCGTTACCAAAGTGGACTCACCAATAATGAGCTGTGACAGTTGTGGTACCATTTACTTCGCAAGTATTGTTATACCTAATGCAGTTAAAGATTATTGCTATTAATTTTGTAAATTGTTTAATATTTAAAAAGAGAACGTGACCACACCCACGCCAGAATTATCTCCTGCATCGTACATAGTAATATACTATATATTCTAAGTCTATGGCATCGTAGGTTTTACAAAATCCAAACTCAACCACAGATAACTATATACTAGTCAGAGAAACTCAACGAAACATACTTAACACATATAATCACGGGCAGTAATCTTCATAGAAAAAATATTGGACATAGGAAACGTCATAGCAAAATTATATATGACAGCTAACATCCCCCTCGCCCCTCGACATCCATTTTAAGCTCTAATCATGGAGTATAGAGTAGATCTACTCTATTCTGCATGGCTCTAATGCAAGCCGTGGCAGCCATATTGTTTATTTTGTCCGTAATCATTGTATCACTGAGTGATATTATTACTGATTTACTGATAAATTTCCGTTTAGTTGCGTTGATTTATTTCCGCCCTCTCTTTGCATTTTCTTTGCATTACTTATATCAACGTATTGCCTTTTACTTTAGTAAAGGATCAACATCTACTATTGAAGTGAAAAAATACTTTAAAAGAAATTGTTGCTGCTGTTGGTGTAATAGGATAACATTAGTCTCAGATGAAGGGGCTACTTTCAGATCTGCTCTTTAACTACTGCAAGAGGAAACTAGAGCAGTTCAAATAAGAGAAAATAAGGCTTAGCTTTCCATTGACGTCCGTCGAGTTGGAGGTTGATATTGATACATCAGCTTACGATTCGAATCGATTTAAAAATCGATCTTTTTCGGAAAGAATCGACATCTGTTTAGGCTAAATATTAACAGTTTTAAAACTTGCATTCATTACGCTCGATCTCTGTCGCCTGACGTGTGGGCGAAGAACCGGTTTGACGGCTTGGGCCGCGGGTCCGGGATTTGCAGCAGCCGGCCGCGCCCTATAGTCTAGAAGTTACTTTCGTATAGTTTGGTCGCGTGACGACTGCCTCTAATTGAGTTGTCTTTTCGTTCGTTTTACGTGACAACGAGACGTCTCGGGAGTTTTTTGACTGATTAAATTAACTTCTATAACCATTTATTTGCATCGACGAGTTGTTTGTGTGTCATTTTGATATCATAATAAGAATTTACATCTACACACTTTCACACACTACTTTACATCCACTTACTTACCACCTGACTTTGCCTCGTGGTCGACCTTACCTCCGGAACTCGGTAAGTTGTGTTTGCTTATTAGCCATTAGTTAAGAATTATCCATGGGCCATTTGGGCCCGAACCCTCTGGTTGCCCGTCGAGGAAATTACTCATGAGCCCTGGTCCAGTCGACTTTTGTCGGAGCAACTGAGGGCCGTAACAACATCCCTACTGACAATGACAATGACAAAACAAAATAACGTCAGTTTTACTGTAGGAATTGACATAAATATTGCAAAAATAATTGATTTTCAATAATTTGTTTCTCAAAAAGTATGCATTTCCGCTTTGCCTGTGTGCTTATAATAATGTATCCTTTCTGTAAAAATAAATATCAACCCCCAACTCGACGGACGTCAATGGAAAGCCGTAGCGAAAATAAAAATCCAGGTACAATTAATTAAATCTTCACCGTTCATGTTTAATCTTAATAGAATTGCTTTATTATTTATATGTTTTATATTTTTAGATGACCTGATACATATAAGTGGTTATAATATGTCTTGCTTGCTTGTCATATTTGATGCACCACATTTAATCAAAGAAATGCGAAACAATTTTGGTTAAACTATAGACATCCGGTACTTGCCTACGAGGTTGGGAGGGGGAGGGGGAGGGGGGGGGGGGTCAGGGGAAGCCCCCCTACCCTTCCCCGCTTGCGGAAATGTATAGTTTATGAGTAATAATTTCTTTTGTAAAATCATAACCTCACTTTTTTACATAGGAATATTGACACAAAGTTACTTCTGTAACGGCTTCGGCGCTACGGGAAATGCAGCCCCATCGCCCTTGCGTAGCAAATCGCAGGCCCCCATGCTCACCTCCGCAGCTTCGGCTTATTGGTCGCCTTCGGCGACCAGCCTCAGCCGCTACGACTCGCTCGGGGGCCTGCGATTTGCTACAGCGGGCGGGGGCTGCTTTCCCTCCGCGCCTACGGCTTTAAAAAACACTCTAGGGGTAGGGCAGACAAGACTACGTGGAGTCAGGGTGTTCTGAGTCAGTTTTAGTACAAATTCGATCTATCTTATCTAAAGTCAGGTTTCCCTAAACTCTGCTATGATAGTGGTAAATGAAACAATGTAATTTTAATTATTTAATTTATTTTATACACATGCTTTATTGCTCGCATAATTTCTTTGAATGGATCCTTTTTAAACTTTTCTACATTTCGTCTCCACAAATACTCTACTATCACGTCTGTAAAACTTTGAGAATTATTATAATTTTGTTTTCTAAAAAACCTCTTCACTGCTCTCCACTGCGACTCAATTCGTTGTGTATGAGTCCCATCTTCAGACACAAATGGATTGTCTGGGTCTGAGTGGCTAACTTTTTTATGTGTGTACCCGTGTTCTGCCAAACAATCATATGCCCGCCAACAATCAGTATAAATTGTGGTACCCGCCGCCACATGTCTCTGTATAAGCGGCACCAGTACCTCAGCAGACCTAATATTGTCCGGGCACACCTCTAGTCTGAGATCCTCAGACCCATCTTCTATCATACCGAGCACCCAGTGGCCTTCGATGTGACGTCCTATAACAAATAAAATTAATATTAGACATTTAGTGTGACAAAAAAAAGGTGTAAACATAATCATACTTATATTTACCTTTATTGTATTTTCGTTTTCCAAATTTGCTCTCATCAATTTGTACAATTTTACCAGGGCCACCAATCTTTCCAGTAAACTGATTCTGTTTCTCGAGGTAGTAAATAACAACTACCTCTCTGCAGTAATTGTACCAATCACATATTGTATATGGGCTTAAACATTGTTGTCTCTGTCGTTTATATGGGTCTTCATGGATTGTTTGATTATAAGACCATCCTTGTGAATATGCATATATGAGGTAATATATGTGGGGCATATCAAGAGTTACATTTTCAAAAAAAGTCCCTTTGTCGTCGTGAGATTTTAACTCCACTGCCTCCAGCTTTCCCCTTACAGGATGCTTTAGCACATATGAAAGTACCAAGCGATTTGCAGCCACTTGAGTATGAAATTTTCATATTAGTTTTATGTTTGCCGCACTTTCGTTCCTTTAGGACCAGCCCTTCATCCTCACTATATCGAACACATTGCTCGTTCGTTCCAAGTTCACGCACAATATCCGACAGATTCCACATGAACATAATCTCAGACACGTATAGTCGACGCTTCACATAGTCGCCGTCGTCAGAGAAGTCTTCGTCGATGTGTGATGGTTCCTCGAGTAAAGCGTCAGATGCCGAAGAAGGCCCCGCTACGGGTTCGTAATCGCTCATTCTCAGGTCCGGTAAGCAAGCCAAAGTCCAAAGTAATGCAATCCAATCAAAACCAGAAACAAAGCCAAGGTCAAACGTAAGGGCAATCAAAGAAGTCCAAAAACAGAGCAGAAGTCGTCGAAAAAACAGGGAAAACACAGCACTAAGCACAAAAAAGAACATTCGCGTGACTACTAGAGAAACGGAATGACAATTTATATTTGACATCATAGATAATATATTATATTTGACATTTACGGTTGCCGACAACATGGCCGTCAACAACCGTTCCGATTCACACTTTTTGCATCTGTTTTTGACATCTAATCTCATAACACTATACAAAATTGTCATATTTGCGTTTCGTTATACGGAATTTTTATTGAAATTTATTTTTGTCATAATTAATTAAAAACGCATTTCCGACATTCAAAAACAGTTTAAAATGTTCATGCTTAACCCTGACAAGCCTCCTAAGTTGAAAACATAACTAAAATCAAGTACCGGATATCTATAGCCAACCCACAATTTTTAACAAAAAAATATACAATACCAAGAAAATATTTCTACATGGTCATATATTGTAGATGCGTATAAGACAGACTGTGAACATGCAGAAACACGGTTATTACACAAATTTAATGACGAATATGTTATTCCTGATAATAAAAAATAAGGTACATGTAATATAATTTTTGTACATGTACTTAATAAACTTATTCGTAATCAAATTCTTTTGGATTATTTGCAGGTTAAGAATTATGTTCGTATATTTCGTAAAACCGTGGCAGGAGCCTTAATTTATACCTCTGCATTTTGTAAGTTATTATATTAATTATTTTATTAGATTTATAGCACCATAAAACTAGTATTTTATATGAGAGAAACAAAGACCCTTGTAACAAGGCACAGCGTTCACTTACTATCAAGAGAAATGGGTGCTTCCCTGTCATGTTTAATTCTATAAAAAACACAAACTTCTTCTGTAATTTAAATATGTTGTACAGAGTACTTAGTTATATTTCAAATTTTATAATATTTCAAATATTTATTACAGCTCATTATTCGGATGGGCGGCCAGTGAGCAAAATACTGAAAAATATTGCAGAAACAGTATCTTTTATGGATGACACTTTTGACAGTGTGAATGGAAGTGCGGTGATAAATAAAAAAGAAGAGAGAAAGAATTAACAATTGCTGTTATAGAAAAATGTAAACACCATGCATTCAGGCAGCAAGCTTTGTTAAAACTAGAAAATTTAATATTTATTAATAAAAAATGGTCGTGTATGTACAGTGCCCAGTATAAAGAATTGGATAAGTACCATAAAAAGATTTATGAATTTGTGGCAGTTTTTGTCCAAGAAAAATGTAAAGGTTATGAGACCCTGCTGTATACATTCCGATGCAATCTAATTTTTTTTCGGTCAAATAAGATCATACAATTTTAGGGACAATAATCCATCTTGCCACAATTTCATAAATGCTCTTAAATCTTTATTAATTACGGGTTTCATTAAATTTCACCACTCATCTTGTAATTATAGAGATGATGTTAGTGCACAGATATTAAAAATAAAGAGCCTGTTTAAAGGACATGAAAGGGAAGTGAGTAACGAAAGTGGTGAAACTGGTGAATCTTATATTGATACTTATCCATTAATTCTAAATAGATGGTTAGTTCTTTTCTCGCTCCAAAGCTAAGTACATATAGCCATTCAGCAGGGAAACGCAGCCAGCGTTCTTGGTGTGATACCGCGGGGTGTAGGATTGTATGATAATTAAGCTACTAGTTTTAGTTTTCTTTTTTTAATTATAGTTTTAATAAGCTATAATGGCATCAGAAAAACAGGTCCGATTCTAAATTTGTAAACAAAATTATTGTAAAGTTAAAATGAGGACTATGATAATTAAGTTATTAGTTTTGGTTTTCTTTAATTATAGTTTTTTTTTTTAATATTATATATTTTAATAAATTAATTATTCAATTTCTAATCAAAATTATTGTAAAGTTAAAATGAGGATGTATGATAATTAAGTTACTAGTTTAAGTTTTTTAATAATGTATATATTAATAACTTAATTATTAAATTTGTAAACAAAATTATTGTAAAGTAAAAATTAATAACTAATAAAAAAAATATTAAATTTTACCATTGTTTCATTTGTATTTACTTTATGATTTCTTATATTTACGCGAACACTACACATTTTTAAATAAACCCGTGACCGGGTGCTGGAAAGCACCCGAAACGTCGGGAATATAAAAATAAGTTAATATACGCGATAAAATCCGTAAAATTAGTTTTATTTAAAAATGTATTCACTTCGTTTTATTTTCAATATAATAAAATTAATTTTGCAAGTGGCTATTATTTGGGACGTCCTTTGCCTGGTATAGCTGCTTCAAATAAAAAAAAGAAATGTCATATATCATTTTGCTACAACTTCTATTTTTTATAAAATGGCCACAACGCAGTTCGGAATTTTATCAATTTTTGACCATAATGTGCAGTCATGGAATACGTACAAAGGCGGGCTTACGCAGTAGTTCATTATAAATAATATTACTTCTGCAACTTGGGAAAAAAGAAGAGCGATACTCCTGAGCGAACTCTCTGACGGTACATACCAACTAGCGTCAGATCTTGCACTGCCTAAGGAAGTCCAAGAGGTGACATTTGAGGATATCTTAAACCTCCTGGATAGACATTTTACACCAAAACGTCACCGTCGTATCACCCCGCTAGTAACGGTCAGGCTGAAGGGTACGTTAAAATAGTGAAAAAGTTTACTTTCAATGAATAACAATAATAAAAAAGAATATAAATTAAAATTACTTAAATTCTTATTCGATTATAGGAACTCCTTACATACCACAACTTCTTTGTCACCAGCTCAATTAATTTTCAGTCACAAGTTGAGATTATGTTTGGACTTAATGAGCCATGTTATACCGCCTTTATCAACATCCTTGAAAAATAAAGTCCAAAGCAAACAGTATTTGCAGATTAAGGCACATGGGGAAAAAAATGCAAAACCTTTTGAAACCGGCGCAAACATTTTGTATAAAAAATTTAAAATAATATATTATAATTGGTGTCGTGGTGTTGTAATTCAAAGAATAGGCAAAGTCACGTATATAATAAAGGACATATATACGTCAGCAAGAGTAAAAAAATATAAAAATCAAATCATGCGTGACCAAGGACCACGTTACGATGAACGAAAAATTTGGACATTGATTTTGACCGTCAAAATTTAACTGATAGCACCAGGGAAGAAAATATCAGTATGCCGGCCTCAGACGAGCCGCAAACTACATGCGGGGAAGAGGAATTGGTGCATAATGACGTAAACTCCACCAACGTAAACAATGAGTTTAACATATCGTCGGAGCCAGTTTCAATGTACACTGAGTAATCAGCTTATGGCCACCATTGCACGTAACAACCCTGCGTCTAGGTTTTATTTACGCCCTTTACCTAAGGTGGACTATCGTCGTTTCCTTTGGTTATGTAGTTGTTAACTAGGGGGAGGAAATGGTGGGTACCTGTGTACGACTACGTATAAGTACAGTTGTCATAGCTAAGAAATAAATCAGTGTGTTACTTGCAAGCAGTAGTTTTACTCGTGCCCGTATTACGCATACTTACCATTTGACATCAAAATAATTATTCAAAGTATAGGCCTTGGCGTACAAACACTTTTAGGTAATAATTTTTAAATCCAAGGCCGAGAGGCTTAATACTTGGTCAAGAATCTTGTTGTGAATGAGTGTATATTGTATAAATATACAAATTGGGTATTTTATTGCTATTTCTCATATCACGAATTCGTGCTTACGTCATGTTTTCATATGTACGTATATTAGGTAATGAAAGATAAAATATTAATTTATTTAAATTATAACGATCACTGTCCCTTTATTCAAATAAGAATGGTAATTACATCAGCTACATACCCCCACAATAAAATCCCATAAGACATTATGCTGTGAAAGTTAGTAAGGTAAAGTAACCTGGAAGTGCCTACAAGTGTAAGTTGGCGAAACTGTTTAACAGCATAAGGAGCTAAGCTTAGTTTACTAACCAAGGCATTCATAGTTTATGTGGTCCCTAGTTTAAGAGGCAAACGTGGTAGAGCCATGCTGTAGCTATATTAGTAGTACAGTTGTGGCACGAATGGGTCGGCACGACCGGAGAAGGACCATGTTCTCAAAGAATACCAGCGTAAAATGGCAACTTAATGCTGCTGTGTTTCTGTGTAATGCTGGTGAGTGTAGAGAACCGGAGATCCTTTTTACTGACAACGCATCTGCATTTTGATATGTAATCGAGGATAGATGTAGATGTCTATGGGCCACAACAACCACTTACCATCAAGTGGGCTGAGCGCTCGCTTGTCATCCTTATCCTATAAAAAAAAGCAGATTGGATGAACCTAATCAATCACCCTGATAGATAACCTTTCTTATCTTTGGGCTTGTACACAGAACTGCGATGCGACGCGATGCGAATTCGCAACGCAGAAAATTGCAACACGAATTACTGCGATGCGATTTCGTGCGGCAAGGCGTCTCCCTTCCACGATTAGGGTGACCATTCCTTCGACGACCGACAACCGTACTGAACGTATTTTGAAAATTAGGTCGTGACATAGATCGTAAAAAGAAGTGTGCCCTTTTGTTATTGCTAAGGAGATACAGGAAAAAGAAACAAAGAAGATTTTGGGTTCATCCATTTATTACTATTATGAAAGCCGATGGGAACTATTTTCATCTATATATATTTGTCTACTTACCAAGTTTAATTTTTTCATTGTTTTCTTTTTCTTCGAAATCTGGGAATAAACTTTTACATACGTTCTTCCAAGCTTCTTCTTTGATGAATTTATTTTTATAATCGTTACTAGTGTCCCAAAGAACAGGGCGCTCCTCAATCAGCGATATAAAAAAAATCAACGTCGTATTCTGTCATTTTTTTTTTACTTTAAAGTATACGTCTTGCCCACACGCTGTCTCAGAGCGAACTAAAAATAGCGTCAACAAGTGTGACGTAACATCGCAGGAATGCACGATGCGAATCAATTCGCAAGTTCTTGCGATGCGTCGAGGGAAATCTCGCAGATTTGTACGATGCGACGTCGCATCGCAGTTTTGTGTACAAGCCCTTGTCCGGCTTTCCGCAAAAGTCGTTGGCATAAGCACATTGCCTGAGGATATCTCTAACTGTGCTGTCAATCTCGTACCGTTGGAAAGTCCGCTTTAACCATGTGTAAAGCACCAAGTCTAATGAATTTCTGTAATAGTCTAAGAGCTGGCGACGAATTTCGGGAAGATCCTTTGGGCAAGTTGAAATTGTGAAAAAATATAATTTCGTCAATTGGCGAATCCAGACCCACGAATCTGGCAGAGCGTTTGCGGTTATTTCGTTACTGTGCACAATATAAGATTTGTAAAAAAAAAATCTAAAAAATTTTTTTGTGGCAACTTGATTTCTTTTTTATCTTTTAATTTAGTTTTTTATATAATTCCAAATAAATAATTACAGACGTTTTTGTCGGTTATAAAGTATTACCAGACCACTCCAAAAATATTTTTTTAAATTCCCAAAAAATATACTTTTGGCAATCTGGAATTTTAATCACGTATTTATTGAGTAATTTTAATAATACCTGCAAATCGCTAGACGAATTTAGCGATTTTAAAAAATTCCCAGACGTGAATAAAGTTTACAAATGAATACGACAAAAAAGTCTTATGCGTAGCCATAAGTGCGAGAAAGAGTTTATCGAAGCATGCCGACACCCGATGGGGGCCTACGCTTCTCGCCCTGTCATTGGTTATTAAGAAATATCTTTTTTAAAGATTTTAAGACTAAATTCTTGTTTTTGGATTTAGCATGTATCTTTGCACATATATGACCATGTAAATATCTGTGTATACAGTTTGGATTATTTTAGATCAGTGCTGTAATAATTTGTATAATGGCTATTACTTTTAACCTCGTATTAATAGTAAACTTGGCAATATATGTCTTGATAATTACCACCCCATGATCTTAAAAAAGGACTATGTATAAAGTGCTTACCGCCCAGAGATGAAGGTGGAAAAAATAACAAGTTTTTTTTTATAGGATCGGGTGACAAACGAGCACACAGTCCACCTGATGGTAAGTGGTTACTGTGACCCATAGACATCTACATCTATCCTCAATAAAGACTCAAGATGCAGATGCGTTGTCACCCGTGAGGACTAAGATGGAATGCCTCTTTGCCAGTAAAAACCGTCTTCGGTTCTCTACACTCACCATACGAAACACAGCAGCGTTAAGCTGCTATTTTACGCTGGTTTTCTGTGAGAACGTGGTCCTTCCCCGTTCGAGCCGACCCATTCCTGCTACAACCATAATATAGCTGCAGCATGGCTCTACCATGTAGAAAACTTGCTCCACCACGTAGAGAAGTTGCACTATGCAAAATGTTAATGAAATCTATAATGGGAATGGCCGCAAAATTATGTTTAATTTAAATTATTGCTTACTACAGCAGATTCCATCCGCAGAGATCGTGATCCTTGGCGATTTTATCATCCACCCCGCCGAATGACTCGGTACACGTTTAACCGATCATGTGGGGAGATCTGTTTATAACTTTGCTTTGGCCACCAGATGTGAAAGATCACGCAATTTCCCTGTTGGACCTTCTGCTGACCTCTCATCCGGACGGATATCAGGTTTCCGTCGACGTCCGTTTTGGCTCCTCGGAACATTGTCTCGTCTGGAGTGTGGTGCCACTCACACTAACGTTGCGGTTGCATTCTGTAGGCTGCCGCCGTGTTTTGCACTATAAATCGGCTGATTGGGATAATATGCAGTTTTTTTTTGCATCCTACACTTGGGGGTGGTTTGCTTCTCGCTGAACGATCCCAGCGTTGTTGCTGATTCTGTCGCTGATGTGGTACTTCAGAATATGGAAGTTTTTATTCCATCCTCGGTGGTACTCATCGGAGGCGGATAGCAGCCATGGTTTGGTCGCTCCTGTAAAATAGCATCACGCTATAAGCAAGAGTGCTACTAGCCCTGGGTTAACGCATCAACGTCTCGGAATATAAGCACCAGCGCTCTTAAAAAGAAATTCGCCTTCAGGCCCTTCAAAAGACTCTTTGCGAAGGCAAGTTCAGAGCACATCGATAGAATTGGCGAGAAGCTAGTTCGTCTTCCTTCGGGAACCCGTGCATTCTGGTCTCTTGGCAAGACTTCCCAAGGGAACTCCTGTCAGCCATCTCTTCCATCTCTGCACAGAGTGGACGACTTACTGGCCCATGCCGCAAAGGAGAAAGCCGATCTGTTAGGCTCTCTTTTTGCATCCAACTCGACTCTCGATGACTGGAGGAAAACACCGCCGACCATCCCGCGGTGTATATGAGCTATGCCGGATATGCGGTTTACACAGCGCTCGGATCGCAAAGCACTCCTCTCCCTGGACGTCAACAAGTTGAGTGGGCCTGATGGAGTCCCTTTCATTGTGCTGAATACGTGTGACCCGGAGTTGACACCGGTTTGACACGTAGTCCCGAATTCATGGAAGACAGCTTTGATCCACCCGATCCCTAAAAAAGGCGACCGCTCAGACCCGTCTAATTACAGGCCTATCGCCATCACCTCCTTATTCTCCAAAATAATGGAATCCATTATAAACTGCAAGCTCATGAGGTACCTTGAGTATCACCAGCTGATTAGTGACGGCCAATACGGTTTTCGTTAGGGTCTATCAGCGCAGGTAATTTTCTGGTCTACCTGACTCATAGATGGGCGGAGGCAGTAGAGTGCATGCGTGAGGCAAAGCCCGTTAGTTTGGATATAGCGAAGGCGTTCGATCGTTTTTGATTCGCCTTCGATTGCCTTATACACCGGCCGTGCCAATATTTCTCT